CTAGATATGTTTAGCGTGACTACAAACCTATGATGCAAATGCAGGTAACTCCCCCCGCATCCGCGCCAATGGCTTTCGCCCACGGCAGGTCGTTGCCGGCTGGACTCCCAGAATTGGGAATATAGGTCAAAGCAACAGCTACGATAGTGTCACCTTCCAGACCGAGGACGACATCCTCAATGTGAGGTGTGCCGTCCAGGTTGCAGTATTGGTCGTACCATCCCATATTATCTTTGCGAGCCACGTCTCGACTGACAATTGCTAGAACCTGGTGGTACTCCATCATGTCGCATCGCCTGAAAGTCAGTCCAGCTGACGAAAAGCTCTTTGCGGGCATGTCTTCGAATTTGAGGAGCCAGTCTGAGACCTCCTGTCCTTGGCCGGGCTGGAACCCATCCATATTCCAGCCTCGTCGTGAAAACCAGTCTCGTGAGAAGAAATCAGACGGCACGCCGTACAAGAGACGCGGAAAGGCTGATCCCAGTTGCAGCCTGTTGACGCCTCGGGTTCTCTGGAGCTGTTTAAGGGCATAGTTATGTAGTGTTAATCCGACACCTCTTCCGCGATATGAGTTCTTGACAATCAATACGGCTACCGAGCCGAGCAAATTCTCTTGCCCCCCATCTGGATACGTGGTAAATGTAGCGCAGAAGCCCACAATCTGCTTGTTTTCTGGTTCGCGCACGACATAGTGTCTGGAAAAGCCATCTCTCTGGAGGAGCAGGACAAGCTGGTACTGCGGGAGATGAAATTTGGGTGGAAGGCATTCCGTCCACAACTGATGGATAGGGCCCATGTCTATACCGCAGACTTCGACATCCCAAGTTCTTGGGGCGATGATGAGGTTTTGTACGGGAACTGAGCTGATGGTAGGTGGACGAACGTCGTCAAAGATGATGGAAGCAGCAGCTTCTAGCTCAGATGGCGAGTAGCCTGTGATTTGCACAAGCGTAGCAAAGTGGTCGACGTGGAGGTTCTGGATTTGGAGGTTGCAGCAAGCTACTATGATCTGCGGTCGCTCGTCTGCCATTGTTCGTGCGGCATCGGCCAAGTCGATTTGCGAGACATCATCGTCTACATGAGCTCCAGAGATGACAAAGACGATTGCTTTTGCCCTTTTGATGAACTCGTAGTGAACGTTGGTGATGCCGCCTCTTTTCGTATATGGCACATGGCGGACCAATGAGTGCCGCGAAGCAATGGCACGGCCCAACGGTTCGAAGGGATCCTTGTCGTTGTCTGCGAATCTATTGTGAGGAACAACAACAGGCGTGAGCAGGACGATTATGTCGTCTTCCGATAGAATTCTTCTCAGGGGGATACAGTCTTGTCGGTCCCATAGTAACATGGTTGGGGTAGTTTGTGTAGACTTTGGGCTTTTCTTAGACGTGACATGGTGATCGATCTGCATTTCCGGGGAATACCTCATGGCGGAGATGGTCAGTTGCGGTCTCTTCAGCTCATCCCTATGTCAAGTCAGCGCGCGGTTACACAGATTAGCGCCGTGTAAGGTGAGTAAGCGTCAGATGGGAAGCGGTGGCTTTTTGGACTTACTAGGCCCGTGTAAGAGGAATTCCGTGCGAACGGCATGAGACGACTCGTTTGCTGCTCGTCCCGTCGCCAGGTCCACTCTGCCACGATGTTACGAGCCAGCGCACGACAGCTGCGGCTATTGGCGATGGGCCGACCCAGAAGCGCAATCGTCTGCTGACCCAGTGTCTAGCTGGTTAAAGAGATTTTGTTGAGTAGAGAAGATTTGAGTGATGGGCCAGATGTAAGACGATAAGCACTAGAACACGTCAAGGCGAAAAAGACGTGAGCTGGAATGGTTCGGTGTGTTCTCTGCGTTGCTAGAACAACAGAAGAGACCAGTATAAATGTCGAAAGTAGATAAGATTGAGGAATATATCCTCGACTGTTCGATATTGTCGCGAAGCGCTGACTATTGTTGGCATTCAACTTGTTCAAGGAGACTAAACGTCAATCAACTCGATGGCACCTGGCACCTGGGCAAGCAAGTCTTGAGGGAATAACCAGACTAAATGTTAGAAGACACATATTTACAAACGTGAGGATTGGTTACACATACCTCAAAGGGCTGGGAGCAGGGCCGCGTCTAAGAGGACGATAGACTCGACAGAGATCTTTAACTTGATAGGTGTGGGAGGAAGTGCATGAGGGCAGTAGAGAGAGTGGGGTGTGCAGCAGAGGCGACCGGCCGAGGGCACGACCAGGCCGAAGGGACAGCACAACACAGCCAGTCAGCCGGATTTCCTACAAAGATGGGGACAGATGGGCAACATGGAGGGGGAAATCTTGAAAGAGGATATGCATGGAGGTATCATCAGCAGATGCATAACTTGAGAACGGGTATGTCAGAACGAGTAGGACACGAGGTGAAAGACGCCCAGCGGTCAAGGTCGAGGGCCGTCCAAGATTCCTCACCGTGGGTGGTGGGTCTTTGTAGCAGGTTACCAAATCAAGGGCTATGTGGTTCCTGGTCTGGGGGACACTCGTCTGACTGATGCAATAACCAAGTTGGTTGTACGGATAGAGAGAGGTGTGCACGCGTGCGTACGTGTGTGTGTGTACCCATGGAATGAAGAATGGTGGGAGGGAGGGAAGGATGAATGGACGGATGGATCCAATGTAACCGGCGCGGTACGGAGCGGTAATACGTCCGTCACCCTTAGCTTACTAGGTACTCTGGATGAAGTTGCTCTTGGATCATGGATGGAAGGGGGCATAACGGAGCGTTGACGGACGGATCTTTTACCTCGATGTGCTGACCACCAACCGAGCCTTGCAAGTGCCACTTAGCAACATGAGGGTTATTAGAGAAGGTTACACAACGCTGCTGCAGACGAAATTGGCGTCCGGCATGCGGCGTGCGGCGCGCGGCGTATAGTGACCACCACCTCGAGGTAAGGTATCCCGTAAGGTGAGGTGAGATGGGCACTGCGGTAAGCAGACGCCACTACACATGACGGCCGAAAGGTGACACAGAGCCAAGCCCATGCTGCGATAGATTGGACCTCAAGGCACACTACGCTGTCATGGAAGGTCGCAAAGCCCCCACGGCAGCGGGTGAAGGTGGTCCAGTCTGCCAAGGAGAGAAGTCAAGACGGAACAATATTAGCTATCGGTGTATGCGGTCTGCCTCGATCATTCGTCCAGGTAAAGTCGCCGCTACTAGTGGAAGCCCGCTTGCGGCTTGCTATCGTCGCCTGTCATCCGTGGCCATGGTTTTGGAGCTCCCGACCAACAAGTGCCCTGGACAGGCCCGCTGAAAGGAGAAGGTCCCAGGAAATATAGGAGGCTTGCGTAGTTCTAGCAGGGCCGGCTTTGGGGGGAGTTTGTGTGCTTGTCGGGGTGTGAAAAATAGGGTTTACCGGGAGAATCCTACCGACGAAAAGGGACGACGAAAAGGCGGCACAAACAGGGGAAATGCCCATGCCCAGGTTCATTCGGTCCTCTCTCGGCTGTGGAGACATCGGGCCGCGACTGATAATGATATGTGAGGTACAGAGCGAGAAACCCGAAAGACACATGGCGAGCAGAGTCGTCGCTCGGATGATTTGATCAAACGAGGGAGAGACGTTACATAATTGGGAAGAGTTGTAAGGCCCGGACACGGTCAGTCTGTCCTGACCTCTGGTCTGTAGGCAGTGTTGATGCGGACCTGGAACGATGTCAGTGACCAGACCAAAGTGCAGTGAGGAGTCATGAGACCTGAATCGACACCTCGGCCACCGTGGTCTTGAACAAAACATGCGGTCAGAAGTGGAGGCGACAATGACCTCGCGCACCAAGGTGGAGGTTTGTAAGAAGCACTGGACCTCGGAGAAGGATGTGACGGGGCCAGAGAACAGAAGGATTCTTGCGAGGTATTTGCGTAACCAGTTTGTGGAACAGCAGGTAAAAGATGGCACTACTGCGTAGATTATGTTAGGGATGAGGCGCTTCTGACGCCTCGGTCAGCGAGCTTGGCCAGATGAGGGCAATATTGGAGCCAGTTGTATTTCTGTAGGATGCGACTGTTGGAGGTTGCAGGTTGTTTCGAAGCAACCCTGTCATTGAGAGGCAGCTACCTACGCAGTAACGCAGTAGTTGTCCAAGGTAAGGCAAGGTAAGCAGTGTTGGTGTTACGGTGAGAGACGTTGGCGAAGGCAAGGTAAGCAAACTAAGGTAGCCGTGGGTAGTAGGCGCGAGGTCAGAGGTTACGCAGGAACTTGGCGGGACGGAGCGTCGGGATGGCGGTATACAACGGTGAGCACGGGCGTTTCTGGAACGGGTATGCAGTACAGAAACGTTCGCACCTACGGTACCTTAGCACTTGAGGTAGGCACCTAACGGTCCAGGATGTCATCGGTCGATAGGTACGTCTCTTCGTGCCGTAGTCGTACCTTTTCTTTCCGTAAAGTACATCACATAAGGTACCTTGGCCTCTAAGACTTTTGACCGGTTCGTCGCATTATCTCACGTTCGCCTCGGACTTTCCCTGACGAAAAGAACAGACTCTTTCGTCTCCATGCCAAAAGACGGAAAGCCATGTCGAGATACCCTGCCATACATGGGCATCATGCGCCCTACTGTGTAAGCAAATCCACTTTAATATCTTCCTACCTTACTGGGGGCCGTGCTACTCTCCTCTCTCCAGGCAGTTGCAGATCGCGGTTGCAGCAAATGATACTTTCAAGTTGCCTTGTGTAACCCCAAACAAGACCATGAATATCCCTCTTCCTTCCCTTTTGCTACTATCGTGCATGTGTACCTGCCTCTTGTCGACAGTTCCTACCCGAACCCCGTAGCCGCGACGTAAAAGCTAGGAGCAGGCCGGGTAGAAGCGACATCATTCGCAACCCGAGCCGGATCGTCTTCGTCATCTTTTGCCATGAACCTGCTGCAAGCCCGCGACTCTCGACTCTTTGGATGACTGCACCTCATATCTCACATCAGTCCCCCCGCTATGGACTCCAGAGACCAAATGAGCGGCAGCCATGGCAGCCAAGACGGCATATGCGCCGCTTACGGTCCGGAAGGTTTGCCACGACGTTAATGGCCAGCAATTGGATACCCCCAACCAGACCGGTGAGCATCTTTTGCAACTGCTCAGGCTTGCCCGTTTGCTGTTCCCCGCCGCCCACAGAGACGAAGTTTTGGGGTCCAAATCACCAAAGGCCGTATTCGTACCGGAGCAGATATCCATCAATCAGCACGGGGGCAAATTTCAACTGTGGTCAGATTCTCAGGTCATGGCATGCCTTCTCTGCATGCTCTTCATTTACCCGCAGGACCTAGACAGCGGTGCAACAACACAGGGGCTCTCGCCTGGCCTCATCGCCCGGCCTCGCCCAACCCTTCACCGAGGCGTGCTGCTGCTGATGCCTCCCTGTCCCGCGCACATTCGCGCTCCTTACGGACACTGCTGACCGAAAGCCCGCCCCCACATCGAATCCGACACCTTGTAAGGAGTCAAAGACAGCTCTGCTGCTCCGGTTCTGGGCCTGCATCTGTTTTAGCGAATTGCTGAGGATGGAGCTTGCTCCGGCCAGTGACCCCGGACGCTGGGCGCCGAAGAACGGACCCATGCCGGCTCTATACAGCCAATAAGGGAATGGACCCACAAAATGACAAGGTCCGAGTGCACGGTGCAGTTTTCCCGGTCTGGACGCACTCACCTTGATCTTCACCCCGCGACGCGTCTGCCACTCTCATTCACCGTTCTGGACAGCTCGGGCCTGCCAACCCATGCTGCGACTTGACGACGCTTGACCCGCCTGCCTCATCTAATGTTGCCACACTGTATCCATCCATTGGAAATTCGGCACAAACAGAGTGTCGCAATTTCAAGACGCCGACATACCTGGTAGAATGGCTTCGCCCACCAACGATACGTCTATGAACATAGACGTTGACCTTGACGTTGGCCTCCTGATTGGCGATGTTGTGGAGGGTGAGTAAACCCCCTCACATGTGCAAGCCGTGTATAGACCCAAGTCTAATTCGTACAGCTTCCAAACTGCCTGCAAAACGGCGGGCGACCAGCATCAAGCCTACTGTTGAGAAGGTCGCATCATACGCATTTGAAAATGGCCTTCTTCCCGACTCCTTGAGCGAACTCATTGACCTACTCACGAGGCCAAACCTGTTGGATCAGGCAAACTTGAATACAATACTCAAGAATCTTTACCCCGCTACTCGGCTATCCAGTGATGTCGTCCTGAGGGTTGTGGGATGCCTCGGCCATGGGGAACTGAAGCCTTCCCTGGTTCTGCAGTCGAACATTCTGAAATGGCTAATCATGGCATACCATGTCATCGAAAAACCTGCCATCTTGTCGCAAGCCTACGCTGTTTTGTTCAACTTGCTAGATACGGCAGCCATTCGGTGCGGAATTTTCCTCTGTTGCGAACGGAAAAGGGGCTAACACGACTCCAGACCGCAACTTTGCCATCTACTCGCCTTGATCACAGGCAGAAAACACGTCCGGCCTTTTAGGATCCAAGCTGTGTAAGTTGGTCCCTCTGCAATCGCAGGTGGTTCTCGGCGCTAATGGCACATCTCAGCCTCAACCTCTCCAGACAAACAGGGAATGACCCAGCATTGACAGGGCTCCTCCGGGTCTTCAAAGACTACTATCCTGAAATCATCGTCAGCGATGCCTTGAGGGGCAGGGCCTCGGCATTCAAGGTGAGAGGTGCCACGGCATTCAAAAGGTATTCGTACTGATTTGGTAGCACCCCGACGTGGAATGGCGCGAAAGGTTGAACCAGATCCAACATGACCATTCTCAACGGACTGCCGAAGCAGCCAGTCAGCCTCAGAACGGCTTCAGCGTCAACCATCAGGCTTTACGGGCCCGCGGCAATAATTCCTCCAATCTCCCTCCTGTCTTTACTTCAGAAGCCACAGAGGTAAGCGTTCGGAAGAAACACAGCCAGATAATGATGTGCCTGGCTAACAAGTACAAAAGACCTCCGTCACTCTAGAAGAGATTGATAGCGCCGATCGTCTTGCTCAGACAGTCGAGAAGATTGAGCTACCCAACCAGCTTGCGGCTGTACTAGCGGATCCCCTCTTGCAAAAATTCGTTGCCCTGAAAAAGGATGATGCTGCTTCAAAGCGCGTGGTTCATTGGATCGATGCCGTGCTCGAAGACGTGCTCAACGGTCATGCCGATGACAAGTCGTTTGCGGAGACGATGGAAATGCTGGAGGAATACGTGGCTCGCGTTAAAGTAAGTGTGGCAACCGGCCTTGGTTGAGTCTCGCTGACTGTGTAGGAAACTCCACCGGTCGTCTTGCAATTTTTGACGAAATTGTTCACGACATGGAACGGCGTTGATGCTCGGGATTCCATCCTAGGCATCCTCCAGTACGCGCCTCTCGTGGTGTTTGATGGCAAGCGTTTCAACCTCGTTTTCTTCATCAACTTTGCTGACTGTGTAACAGAGCTGTATAATGTAATTCTGAAGCCACTAGAGAAGTGCCTCCCTCCAACGGCCGAGTCGCAGCTAGCACTGCTCAAACTTTACCAAAACCTCCTCCGCCGCTGGACCTTTGTTCTCAACTCGCTTGACCAAGTACCCAAAGATGCCCCCGTCAATGCCTTTTTCGCAGTCATGGAGCACGCAAGCATCATCGCCCTCAACATTGTCCAAGCTTCCCCCAGCGCGGCTGTCCACGGCGGTGTCCTCGACCTGTATGAACAGGCTGCCGCCAGCATCTCTGACCCTACACTTCAACCTCTCCTCCGCATTGCCAATCCGCCCGCGCAGCTCATCTACCTCCTCTTCTTCAGCCACTCCCTAGCAAACGTGTCGCGCCTGTGCACCGTCCTCGCCATATACAAGAAGGGCTTCGAGATGGCCATGTCCAGGCGACAGCCGACAACGTATGCCCCGAGCTACGTGAACCATTTCAACGGGTATCTCATGGACATTTGCAACTGCCTCTGGCGCGGCAAGGCTTTCAACGATGGCGATAAGAACGCTCTCGGCTGCCTTAGCGCGGGCCCCGTCACACAGCGGCTGCGCAGATATGTCGAAGACCTGGGTATGGACCTTGCGCTCCCGACGCTGTTTGGGTTCTCCTACTCGCCGCTTTTGAGCTTGCAGGCCATTGAGTGTATCCGCGAGCTGGAGGATCGTGAGCTAGCTGCGAACGAGGACGCCATCTCTACACGGCACGCGGGGCCGGTGACGTCAAACAGTTTAGCAAGGTTGGCAGACGCAAGGGGGTTGCGCATCACTTGGTCCGAGTATAGGATCATTGTTCTGCGGGCATTGGAGAGCAAGGGGTTGGGCGGTATCCCGTCGTTGATGAAGAATACCATGAAGGTCCTCATGAGCTCCAAGAGTACTGCATAGAGATACCATGTTGCCATGACACGGCTCGGCTCATGCCGGTAACAGGTTCGGAACATCTGCATTTATGATACCCCCTTTTCGGAGATGAGTAGCGCAGTTTTAAAGTAGATGTCTCTCTGACATTCTATTGCATGACTTGTTCATATCTGTCTAGTTGAGTCGACAGCTGATCCACTTCCAAACGTCACGCCTCCCTTTTTGGTTGAAGACATAGGGTATCTCTGAAGCCGTGAAAATCCTAAAAGAAAATAAGTCCATGAGGACTGTGCCCGTCCCCTCGTTGAAGAGGTCTACTACATGACCAAACGCCGTCACCGAGCGAGGCCGGTTGAGAGTGCCCCCTTTTGTCCCCCCCCCCCCCTTTCGTCTGTATCATGACCTTTGTGCCTTTCTCTGTATGCCGTGGTCTAAGTTGAAAGACACACCGATGCGGCTATCGACCCCCTTGGTCGCTGCATCACAATGTTGAAAACCAAAAACGCACAAACGCCGTCCCTAATGCAGTTGAGTGCCGTAGACGCCGTTCTCTCTAGCAAAATGCAGACAGAAATCTTGAAAAACAACCCAAATTGTTGAATCACGCCAATCACGAGCCAGACCCCCTCCGCTGCTCCAAGCTCTCGTCAAAACATGAATAAGCTTATTTCAGCTTGTCAGACTCGTCGCCGTAGCCTCCAACGCCACCAGTCGCGTACGTCTTGCCCTCAGGCGCGACCCTCGCCTGCGATCTCGGGCCGCGGTCCTTGAGATCCTTGCGCAGCCAGCCGAGGACCAGCTCGCCGAGGGTGCTGTTGCCCGTGGAGCCGTCGAGGCCCTCGATGAACTTGTCGGCCGTGTCCCACTCGCGGACGGTGCCGAGGTGCATGTGTACCAAGTGCGTCGGCCAGCCGGCGAGGTTGTCGAGGATGTGCGTCGCATAGACAATAGTGCAGTCGCGGATCTCCGTCTCGCGGCGCAGCCAGGCGAGGAACTCGGCACGGCTGAGGACGTCGAGGTCGACGGTGATCTCGTCGAGCAGGAGGATGGTCCAGGGCCGGATAAGGCCCATGGCGAGCTGGACGCGGCGGCGCTCGCCGTCCGAGACGGCATGCATGCGCCAGGCGGTGTCGATGTCGAGGACGCTGACAAGCTCGTCGCGGCGGTCCGGGTAGGCGTCGCCACCGACCGACCTCAGGAGCTCGAGGACGCCAATGTCGGTGCGGACGATGGGGTTGAGGACCCATTCGAGGCCGAGGTAGGTGACGCCCTCGAGGCCGTCCTTGAAGGGGTCGATGCCCGCGATGGAGATGCCGCCCTGCGGGGCGAGGCGCTTGCCGGCGAGTAGGCGGAGGAGGGTGGTCTTGCCTGCGCCGTTGGCGCCGATGAGGAGGGTGCGGGAGCGGGAGGGGACGGAGAGGGAGATGTTCTTGAGGCCGGAGCTTGAGTCTTGGAAGTTGTAGCTGAGGTTTGTCACCTCGATCGTGGGCGATTTTTGGGCCATTGTGAAGGTTTGTGTTGGTGAAGCCGTCGACAGCGAAATCTAAGAAGTATGAAAGTGAAAAACGGCAGAGAAAAGAGCACGAGTTTGGTCGTGAGAGGCTAAGAAATATTCAGAGAGGAAGGGAGGGAGGTGTGAAGCAAGGGCAAAAAAGTAGGCGATGCATCATTCACACCGCCCACAAACTAAAGGCGTCATGACCTGACCCTCCGGCGATACTACGGGAAGACGGAGACCGAGGGGCCCAGAATCGAAGTGTCTTAACACTTTACCGCGCATTGGATTAGCAACCAAGTTAACCAAAGCCTGGCGGGATGGCGGGGGAGGGAGGGAAAAAAAAAAAGTGCCCCTCATTCTCATTCCAGAAGGGCGAATGATGACACACACAGGGAGTACCTTAGGTACTCCGTACCTTACGTAGAGAGCAAGGGAACCCCGCCATCCAATTGACTTTCAGGTTGGGCGAACCACTGGACGGACGAGGGCACAGTCCCTGAACCGTCTCTCCGGGCCGCTCCAAGCACCGGGGCGGGGCTCTCCCCGGGGGAGCAAGCCACAGCCAGAACAGCCCAAGGTGCCTTACA